GTCGTCATATTATGTGAACGTTACTGATGCATTTGGAAAAAATGAATGAAGGTAATAGTTTATGTAAAGAGATTAGGGGGGGGGGTTGTTTGGTGATGATTTATATTATACGTATAGGTTGGTGAGTATTCAAGGTAATCATATTGATAGTTTAAATTGAGGTGGCGTAAATTGAGGCTAAAACAATATGCACGGAAACGCGAGCATTGTGGTCAGCAACGTTATGAACGTTTGATAGCCTGGCCAATCCAGGTGATATTGATAGTGTAATGATAATTAGCATTGTTAGTGAGCTGAAAGAAAGTACGGAAGAATCGCTGGAGAAGAAGCAACCAGAGGAAGCAGAAGGACAAAAACAAGAAATGGGTGAGAGTGGATCATCGCAAATGGAGATGAACTTGACAGCGGCTGATTTCTTGAGAGATCCATCAGATGCTCTCGGTCAGATGACAAGTAAGTGACGGAGATGTTGTTTGCAAGCTCATTCGAGTGAATAACGGTTGAGATGATAGTCATTTTAATATGGAAATTTATGTGATAGATCGTTATTTTGTTCAGATTCGTTGTTAGATGATTTTTCTTATAGCTTATTGTCTTAATTGTTTGACAGCAATTGTTTATTTGCTTGTAGAAGAGAAGCAGAGATTGCTTGAAAGGAAGTCGTCATCACAGAATCCGAAAGCTGATGGTGGCTGTATCAAAAGGAAACGACGACAGAAAAAGTCCAGTGCGGCGGCACCATATGATTCGAAGCCATATTCACTGAGGTATAGATTTGTGGACATCGTAAGGGAGATAATAATGGTTCGGATGACATAAGTTAGTGTAGTGATTANTTGATGAATAGTGGATTGTGTGGAATTTGGTAATGTGAGTGCGATGATCTAAAATAGTTTGAGTGTATGAGGCAAAAGGATTTTGATTCGTGAAATTTTGATTGTCTGATTGATCTGATCAGATTAATCTGATTAATTGCAGATCTTTGTAACTGCAGTCTGATCTTTTGATCTTGTCTGATTTTGATCTGATTAATTGGTTAATTGTTCGTTTAAATTTTTTGCAGATTACGACCGAAAAAGAAGAAGAAACGAATCCAGTTCAAGAATGTGAAAGTTTATTATTTTGAGCGGTCGCAGGGCTTTACGGCTGTGCCCACTTGTGGAGGAGTAACTCTGGGTGAGTGAATTTTGGTTGGTTTGGTGTGATTGTAAATGATTTGAAGCCGTGGAATTTTTGGACTCTTTAGTTTGATGAGATGATTCTGTGTTATTGGACTGTTGTTAAGAAAGTTTATTGCGGTGAATTGTTTGTTTGTGAGGATTTCATATGCTTGCGATATATTACCTTGCGATATGTCTTCGCTCTCCATGTGGGCGCAGGTGAATCGATTTGCATGTTATTCAGTGTTGTGCGGGCGGACCTTTTCCATTTCTGACCGAACATTATTCTGACGAGTGGTTCATCCCATCTTATTCGTGGTTTGCCTAGGGGCCGTTTCACTCCTCTTAGAATTCATTGCGTTATTCCAACGGGTACCATTCATTCTTGTTATGTTATCATGTTTATATATAAATGTGTAAATGTGAATGAGTTTGTGATCGTTTGTGAGAAGTAGTGCATAAAATTGAGGATCGCTTTTAAGGAATGACCTCGAAACATCACGATGAGAAGGAGTTCTCGTTAAGTGAATTCGAGCGAGCCATGCGCAATGAACAGGTTGAGTGATGCATTAGATTATGTTTATTTATTTGTTTATTTATTTATTTAAATATTTGATTTTTTATGTAAGTTTTTCATTTTGTTCATGAATATTCAACAAAAAATAATGTTGGATATTTTATGTGAATTTTCTTTGATGCATGATTTATATAATATCTGACTTGAAAAGCATTCAGCCGTTCGGAAGTTGGTGATTGATTATAAAAGTTGTTGGGAGGGATTGTGAACTGGAATGTGTAGTAATGTGTAAGAGGTCATCATCGGGAGTTTGTTTTGCAGACTGATATGTGGATGCATATTATATTTAAATAAGTGTATTATATGAATGCGATATGTGAATGTTGTGTAAATTTTGGAAGAAATTTCAATATAACTGAATTTTACACTTGAAATTGTCTTGCACAAATCTAGTGAAAGAACTGTCGAAGTATGCAAAATGGTATTTTGATACGTTCTGAGATGTTGAATAACGATTGTCCGTCTGAACTCAATTAACAAGGAAAAGTCACGAAGTCACATCCGCCTTTCGGGATGAGATATACATCATATCAAGGATGTGATGTATATCTCATCACGGATATGCACGAAATTTTTGCAATGGGCAACGGGGACGCAAGATTTGATGCATGATTTTGCATTGTAGGTGTCGTAAGTATGTTTGGTAAGTATAGCGGCGGTGATTTGCAGATAGCACGATATAGGCAACGATGCGCCGAGCGTGCAGCTCGCTTAAGGATCCACTCGGAATCGTCACTGAATGCAGCTAATGCGATACAGCCACAACCATCACCACCACAACAGCAACAGCCGCATCCTT